ACGTTGACACCAAAGCAGAGCTAGCAATCACTAGAAGAGAGGAAGTGTGGAAATGGCAGAAGTGGGGAGGGTATTAAGACGTTAAATGTCAGTTTATTTTCTGCTTTGAAAGTTATTTTCCTATGAATACCTTTTATTCTTCCAGCCATTGTAGGATAAGAAAAAAAAAAAAATTTTTCGTTTGGCATCTGTTATATACGACATTTTCTGTTTATTATTTATTATTATTCGTATTTTTATTCGCTTTTATTTCCCTTTTTTTACTTCTCATTCTTTTATGTATATATTTAAAAGTCATATTGTTTTTTTTTTCATGATTTAAAATATTTTTCACCTTTCTGTAAATTTCGCGAAACTTCAGTTTTAATCTAATTATTCTTTTTTTAATGATTTCAAATCATTCTTTTTATGACACGTGCTAAATCACCAAAGCTTATATTCACGCTAACACAGCCAATGATAAATGCATATTTATACAAATCCATTGTTTATTATAGAAATACATTACAAATGATTTTATATAATATTTTATATGATTTTAATAGGAATGCATTGCAAATGATTCAACCATAAGATTTCATTGGCCATAATGTTAATATGCAATTGCATTGCAAATGATTTTACTAGGAAAATGCCTTGCAAATGATTTTACTATAAAATTGTATTGCGAATGATTTTAATATAAAAATGCATTTCAGATGATTTTAATATTAAAATACATTGCAAATGATTTTTAATACAGGTGCATTGAAAATTATTTTTCTATAAAAATTCATTGCCAATAATTTTATTATACAACTGTATTGCAAATGAAAAAAGCTTGCAAATGATAGTACGATAAAATTGTATTGCATATGATTTTCTAGAAAAATGCATTACAAATAACTTTACTATAAAAATGCATCACAAATGATTTTAGTACGAAGCCATTGAAAATTCTTATAGATATGATTTATTAAACAAATACACCGAAACTCTCATTAACCCTAATGATTGCATACATACATACATATATATATATATATATATATATATATATATATATATATATATATATATATATAGTGAAACAGGGAAAGACTAAGAGAATTTATAAGATACGGATGCCCAAATTCTCAAAATACAATTAGCACGTGAAACAATACAAAAAGAAGACGGATGGATTTCTAAGTACAATGTTAACCATTTACCCTGTTTACATTCTTCGGAATGTTTGCATCTTTATTGTCATATTCACGACGTTTCGGCTGTTGTACACTCCGGCTTTCTTCAGGATATATCTATATTTCTGAGAGAAGGTATTGTAACTATTTACACTATTTACATTCTTCGGACTGTTGTCCGCATCTTTGTTGTTGTCATATTCACGACGTTTCGACCGTTGCATGCACCGGCCTTCTTCAGGTGATATGCGCTGGTATTTCGAGCCGAACACTTTATTTAGACCACGGGAGTAGATTGTTCTAATTCTATGTGCAACGCCTTTTATTGATATCTCAGTTTCAGTTAATTACCTTTAGTAAGGGAAACATAGTGAAAGTAATCCAAAAAGTGACTTAACCCAAAGAGTTGTGAGTTCGATATCTGGCGGCAGAAGAAATTGGACAAAGACTTGGAGAGTTTATTAACTGATACTGAGATATTCAGAAAAGACATGGCACGTGGAACTGGAACAATCTACTACATAAAGGGTTCGGTTCAAAATTCCAATGCATATCACCTGAAGAAGGCTAGAGCGTATAACGGCTGAAACGTCGTGAATATGACATTAAAGATGCGGACAATAGTCCAAAGAGTGTAAATAGTTACAATACCTCATCTCAGAAAATATAGACAGATCCTGAAGAAGGCTGGAGGGTACACCGGCCGAAACATGGCGAATATGACAATAAAGATGCGGACAACAAGCCGAAGAGTGTAAATAATTACAATACCCCATCTCAGAAATATAGACAGATCATAAAGAAGGCATCTTTGCACATTAGAAATCTCATTTGCCTCTTCCTGGTGTTGAGTATGTTTCCTTTTTATTTTCATTTTCTTTAAAACTTCTAAACTTTTTCTAAATGTTCGGTCTATGCTGAATTGTCTCCCAAAAACGTGATTCATAGTGTAGGCTAAAATAAATGGAGGAAGAGTTCAGTGTATATTATAAAAAAAAAAAAACCTTATTAGAAATAAAGGAAATAAACAAAGTGAGGTGTTATCAAAGTGTTTGTTTAGAGATAGAAACAAAAAAATCTCTTGAATATAACGTACAGTTCTGGTAAGGAAGAGTTATTTAAAATGAAGACGAAGATAGACACTATCCAAATGTGTGGATACAATTCGTGAAAAACCAATGCTTGAGATAAAAAATACATGTCTGATCCTGAAACTAAGGGCAGATAATCAGCAAAGGTAGATAACCGAGTTATCATTTTTTTTATTTCTCCTGATTGTCTTTTCCTTGTCTATATTTAAGTTTTCCTTACATCTGTTTTTTTTACCTTACTTCTTTCTTTGTGATTGTCCTTTTCATTGTATGTTTTTTCTTCTGTTGTGTCTGTCTTTTGTCTGCTATTTTAAAGTCTATATACTTCTTCCTTCTTTTGGTTCCTTTGGGAAAGTATCTATTTCTGTTGAACCATTTTTTTTTACCGTTTCCATCTTTAGTGTGTTGGCTACTTCAAAAATAAACGTGTAATGTTTCTTACGAATATATTTTACAATATGGTGGTGAAGGGTACGAGATCGATTGATTTGGAATGCAAGATAACATTTATTAAACAAAATTAACAAAAGGAAAGTTTAAGAGTTTTTTTTCCTAGAAGTAAATTGCATAGACAACGAAATGTTAACGAATATATTCAGTGTAACTTGCCTGTGTAGGTGTGTTTTAGTGTGAAGCGTCCACAGCCTTGTTTGCTTCAGTGTAAAAAGTTCATGTCAAACACTTCGAAAGGAGGAAAACCGGAAGAGAATTACTTTAAGGGTTCACGGTGCTTTTTTCTAGTCCCAGGGCTGCTGTTGATATGTTTATTAACGCACTACACATCCCTTTCTCAGATCATTGCTTTAGTTCTTTCTTTCATGGCTTTCAGTTTTACTTATTGTATTCACAAAATAATATTTCTTTTTGTCCTTTCACGTGTTTCCTTTCTACATTTGCTACGTTAAGTTAGGCTTCGTGAAAAGTTTAATTTTTTTACTGATAATATCTTGGTATCAGTTTAAACCATTGTCCTCTTGTTTCCATAAATATTATCTAAAATTATAAGCCATAACTTAAGAAAATAAGAATTTACTTAAAATTTGTTTGAAAATTTTCAAGTTTTCATCTGAAATCAAGAAAATGTGAAGCAAAATTGTCACAAGATATGGGGGAAAAAGGCATTGTTTTAAAATTACACCAGGGATATGTGAGCCAACCTGTCATTTTTCTTATATATCAACATTATAACTACAATTTATAATTTTCGAAAGTGAAAATTTCATTGAGATATGTTGGGAAATGCTCAAGTTTTCAACAGAAATTAAAAAAAAAAAAAAACATCCAAAATGTAAGCAAAATTATCGAAGTATAGGGAAAAAAGAAGGCATTAAAATGTCTGGTAAAAAAGTGGGTTAAAAAGTGTGGTTCAATAATGGATTATCCCTACACTCAAGCCACCAATCTGCCACTGGGTGGCATGCCACTAACGTTTACCGCTGGTGGCCTGACTGCCAGCGTGTTCGACAATGCTACCACTGGAGGACCGCTAGAGGCCTACCGGTGGCCCACTAGTGGCCTGCAGGTGGCTTCCACCAAAGGACCGCTGGCGTTGCCATCGGCGGCCCGCCAGCGGCTTGCGTGTAGGGATAATGTGGGTTTAAGATGGGGTTAAAAAATTTACTTTTCAGGGAGAAAATCTCTGGTAAGATTTTACATCAGAAATTAAAAAAAAAATATTAATATATCCATTGTCAACGTATGTATTTGAACCCTTATATAATGCTATCTATGGGTTTGTTAGAGTTTAAAATTATAATGACTACAGGGTACCCAATGAGGATCGATTTCATTACTCAATCGAAGTGATCTGCTATACTACCTAGCTAATAATTGTGCTACAAGTAGTTGTCCTTGTGACTGGAATAATAAAAACGGAAAAACAATTTATAGCATATAAACGACTTACCATGTCGAATGTTTCCAAAAATTTTTATTCGCAATATAATGTCTGGTTAAAAAATTTGTTTCCGATTTTAAGGATTTATTCTTTTTTTTTTTCCTTTGAAATTTGAATTTAATTATTTTCATTTTCGTTGGAAGTATTTTCTTGTGATTTCTTTCTATCTCTCCCTAAATATCCACCCTTTCATGCTCAAACCTGGATTTGTTTCTTGGTCCATCCCCAACCCGCCATCTTTCTCTTTCGCGAATTTCTACCAACATACAAGGAACGTTGATTGCTCTCGGCAGATAACCATTTACCATTTATAGAATCTCCGTCATCTCAGAATCGGCAACGATCTCGCATTGTGACAATTCGATTCTAAAAACCCGTCAGTGAAGGCATGTCCAATACGAAAAAGTTCTTCTTTGTTTGAACGGCACCGTGAAAATCAGGGAGTTCGGTCTCTTCGCTAAACGAATTCCTTGTTTTATACAATGCGTGTAATTGAAAGAGAATGATTTTGTTAACTTAAACTTGTTTCTTTCATTCAGTCACAAAAGAAGAGAAAATGCCTCCATCTTTCTTTCAATCTCTCTTTCTTTCTCTCTACCCAACCAACATCCAAATGAGAAAAAAAAATCTATACCTGAATAAAATAAAATGAGAATGAATAAATAAATAAAATTAATTTTCTAAAAATACACTGAAGATTTTCTCCAACTTGTTGGTGCTAACGTTCTTGCTTTAAAAATTAAAATTTTAATTTAATTTTTTTCCATCGTTGTTCAATGCTGCTTTTAAGATTTTCATATTAAAATTTTGTCATATTTTTTAAAAAGGAACGCAAAATTCTGCTTCTATTTAAAATATGACGTGAGAGAGTGAGTTAGATAGGAAGAAGTGGAGAGGATGATTAAAAGAGAAAAAAAAAGAGGAGAGAAAATAGAGAGGGGGACAGGGACAAAGATTGGAGAGCGTGAGTTGTAGAATAAAAAAAAGAGGAAAGAATTGATTAGAGAGAAGAAAGTGTGAGTCAAAGTGAGTAAAGGACAACGATAAAAGGAGAGATTGACTAAGAGAGAAAAAGTGGACAGAAGTGGGGGTGGGAATAGAGAGAGAGAGAAAGAGAGAGACAAGAATAAATACGTAAAAGTGTGAATTATAGAGAAAAGGGGATGAAGAGAAAAAGATAGTGAAAAAAGAGTGACAAGGATAGAAAGAGAGAATGATTAAGAGAAAAAAAAAAGAGGCGTGAATTATACAGAGACGAGGAACAAAGAGAGGAGAGAGTGAGTTATAGAGCAAATTAATCAAATCATTATTAGAGAGAGAGAGAGAGAGAGAGAGAGAAACAAGGACAAAGAAGTGGAGAATGGCAAAGAGCGAAGAACATACAAAAGAAATATAGAAAGAAAAAGAGAATGAGTTAGAGAGAAAAAGAAAGAGACAAAGACAAATACAGGAGAGAAAGAAAGAGAGAAAAAGAAAGAGAGATTTAGAGGAAAAACAGAGGAAATGACAGAGACAGAATGGGAGATTTAAATATAATAAACACAAAGGTAAAAACCAGAAAGATATTGAGAGAGTGACTAAGAAAAAAAAAGAGAATGTGTTAGAGAGAAAAAGCGACGACCAGAGACAGAGAGGAGGAGAGAGTGAATTAGTGAGAGAAAAAAAAAAGAATGAAACCGCCATAGTAAGATTGTAGACGGAAAGCGTAGGCGGGAAAAAGAAGAGGGATAAAGTTTGAAAGAAAAAAGGAAGACACAACAAACATCGAATGAAAGAGGGAGAGAATGTTAGAGAGAGGAAATGAGAGAAAGAGAGTCAGAGAACAGTGAGAGAAAGGAATTAGGAGATAAAAAGAAAGATTAAGCGTGTCCCACTCTCATTGGTAGAGGCGCCTCTATGTAAGTGTCTTGTGAATGCTTCCAAAAGACCAAGTGATATGACAACAACATAAACGGAATATTAAAAGTATTGTACAGTGTTACCCGGATATAAGAGACCCGGATATAAGAGAAACCCGGATATAAGACAGATTTTCTCTGGTCCCAAATTAGAGCCTGTGTTAATGTATATAAAATAGACCAAACCCGGATATAAGAGAAACCCGGATATAAGAGAGATTTTCTCTGGTCCCAAATTAGAGCCTGTGTTAATGTATATAAAATAGACCAAACCAGGATATAAGAGAAACCCGGATATAAGAGAGATTTTCTCTGGTCCCAAATTAAAGCCTGTGTTAATGTATATAAAATAGACCAAACCCGGATATAAGAGAAACCCGGATATAAGAGAGATTTTCTCTGGCCCCAAATTAGAGCCTGTGTTAATGTATATAAAATAGACCAAACCCGGATATAAGAGAAACCCGGATATAAGAGACTTCTTCTCCGGTCCCGACAATTCTCTTATATCCGGGTTACACTGTAGATACTTTATTTTTTCAATTAAGCATTTAACCGTAACATATTATCAACAGTAGTATTTACGCTGGGAGCCGGCGTATGGCCATATCACATTGAAACACCTGTTCTCGTTCGGTCACCGAAGTTAAGCAACGTCAATCCTGATCCAGTAACTAAAGGGGTGACAGCTTGGGAATACCAGTTGCTGTAAACTTGGATGTGAGGTTGGTGTAGTTCGGGAAATTGAAATTTGAGAACCGAATTCCAATATTAGTCGGTTCGTTATATTCATTTTTGAGCAAATATCACTTTGTTAATCAGTAATACTCAAATCAATAGATCTTTATTATCTCTAAAAAAATTCTTACAATCCAAAAATATTTTTTTTTACTTTAAATAACCTGCAAAAGATTGATAAGCCGTAAAATAAAAAAACAAACAAACAATCAAAAAAAAAAAAAAAAAAAAAAAAACAAATCAATAATAAAATCCTCCGCGGAATTATTCTATATTAATATAAATGTGAAAATTACGTTGGGAGCCATAAATTGACGTGCGTATAGACAATATGGCTTCTTCCCGTTTACAGAGAAAATTATATGGCACAGAGGGTAGCACTTTATAGTTAATTTGCATATCAGCATGTGCATTATAATATGAACTATACCAAAAATAAACGATCACCTTTCAGTTTATATTTCAATAGTTTTCTTTCTAACCATACGAAGAAATGTAGACCTCTCTCTCAACAAATGTTTGCTCTAATAATTCAGCAACTCTGGCAAGTGTTTTAACTTTCTTTTCTTTCTTTTCTTAAAAGAGAAGGCGGGAAAAAATAGTGGGGAAGGGCTTTTGTTGTTGTTGTTCAGAGTGAATGCCTTTCATTGATTTTACAGTGTGCCAATTTAACTCGATATCAAAAATATGATCCTTTTTTTTTTTTTACTTTTCGTTCTATTTTTTAAAATCAATCTCCCATGATGCTTCAGTGGATGCCATCATTATATTTTTCCTTTCCTTCTCCCCACCTACCTTCTCCATTTCTCTGTTCATTTAACAAACCCACTGTCTCCAAGGGATATTTGTTCTCGGGGTTTGTCTTTCTTCTATCTTTCATCTGATTCGTTCTTTCTTCTTCCACACGCAACACACACACACACACACACACACACTTTTCATCATCGTCTTTAGGACGTGGGCAATCATTGCACTCCACAACTTCCTGTCCTTTGTAACCCTAATCCCTCTTCTGCCAACCATTCGTACCGGCTCGTAAGCTGTTTTCCTCCGTTTCTCTTGCCTTTAATATGCCCTGTGAGTGTCAAATTTTCCAAGCCTTTTTATCCCTCTTTTATGTACCCTAAAAATTTCAACTCTCTCTTTCTGACGCAAACGTATAAGTGTCCTTTTTGTTTTGATTTTTTTATAAATCTTCGTCGTTGCTCATATGTTCAGTCTCAGCATCCTTCTGTAGAACCACATTTTTGTTACTTCAATTTCTTCTTCATCTGTGAGGAGATTGTCCAGCATTCACTGCCATGTAGAAAGACTGATATTACACAACAGTTCAGTACTCTTTGTTTCTAATGAAATTTTCCTGTTTCATAATACTTTGCTTAGCTTTAAATATTACCATGTTTCATGTTTATTCTCACCTATAATCACGTTTTACTGAAAGACTTTTTTTTTTTTTTTTTTTTTTTAGAGATCAATGATTGGAAAATTCAATTTTTACTAAACTCCTGGCTTCGATCTGTTGTGTTCTTTTTTCTAATGGTCGTAGTCCAAGCTAAGATTAGTAAATATTTTGTTGAAAAACAGTTTTTCAAATATTTACACTACTTACGTTACTCGGAACGTTGTCCTCATCTTTATTGCCATATTCACGACGTTTCGACTTCATCTCAGAAATATAGACAAATGTTGAATTTCGAGGGAATACTGTGGCATCACGATCTTTCTACGCAATATTTCTTCCTGCCAGATTTTTGCTTACAAATCTGTTTTTCTCTATTTTGCTTCCCCAATTTTTTTTTATCTGTCTCTTTAAATCTCACTCCCTGGCTTTTCTCGGTGTTTTTTTTTATTCTTGTTTCTCCTCTTCTTCCTTTTCAGACATTTCTTCTTTTCTTTTTTCTATTTCTTCCCTCCTGCTTCTTTTTCTCGAACTCTTAATCTATCCTTCTCTCCCCTTTATTTCCCCTCCTTCGTTTTTCATTTTCGTCTTCATTTTTAAAGCCGTATCTTCTTCCCCACCTCTTTATTCTCACTTACTCTCTTTCCCACCCTCTCACCTCCTCCTCTCCCTTTCACACTCTCTCTATATATAGTTCTAGTTCCCTCTCCTCTGTGCCCTCATTGTAAACCTCTTCGTTTTCAACTGTTCCTCTTTTTTTTACCTTCTTTTCTAGAGAGCGTCTTAACAATAGTACGTACCTGGAAAATCAATAATATAAATTTTATCTACTCAATTTTTTAAACTCATGATTGATGCGAAAAATTCTTTTGAGCAATATGGAATCGGGCGGAGATGGTGGTGTAGAGGAGGAGCAGATTGAAAAGTTGTTTTCCATTTACTTTCTTTCAAACAATAAATATACACACTCAAAATACACAAAGCACTTGGCTCATAAATCTCTACTATTACTTAACTTGCTTTGTTTGTTGTTGTTGTTGGTGGTGGTGCTGGTAGTGGGACCTTTCTTTTTACCTTGCCTCATATTATAAATATCATGTTTCAAATCCTTACAGAATACATCACGTTGTGTAATGTGAAAGTTATTTTTTTTCTTCTTTCTATGTGCCGTGTCCTTTCAGGACGTAGGCGATCATGGCTCTCCACCTCCCTCTATCCCTTGCAGCTCTCAAGAAATTCCTTCCCTCTGCCACCTCCCCAGACCATGTTCTGTCATCCACTTGCTTAAGATCGCTAAGTATGTCATGCATTGTTTTCCCTTGTGTCTCTTTCCCTCTATTCGACTCGTGAGTATCAGATTCTCCAGGCCCTCCTTCCTCATTAAATGTCTCAGAAATCTTGAACTGCTGTGTAATATCAGTCCTTTTGTATGGTAATGAATGATGGACAATCCCCTCAGTGTGGTTCTGCAGGAGGATACTGAGAATCTCATGGAGTGGACACGTCAGTAAAAGTTTGGACTCTTTCGCTTGCTGACAACCATGCAAAAAACAAAAAACTCAGCAAAATATTAAGAAACTGGAAAATTTCTTTAGAAAAAAGAAAAGATTACTGAAATGTTAAGTAATGGATAGCGGCTCGGATTGAGGAATCGGGGAGCCGAGTTCGAATTCCAGTCGAATCCATTACATTCACTTGGGAGCGGTATGAATCCTCTTCTTCTCCCCCCACCCCCGGCTATGGATAAGTAGCAGAACAGACCGGGTTCTGTAGCCTTAGATAGCAACTGGTCTACCGCAGAAAGTAGGCAACCTACTGCAGAAAAAATCTGCCTCGTCAGTCATGATCGCCTAAACGTGTATCACGTTTAGGCGATCACATAACTGACAATAGTTAGTATTGGTCTTCCGACATGGCAGCGAATGTTGAACAATCTCCTCACAGATGAAGAGAATACCGGAAGTAGCAGAAGGATGCTAAGAATACCATGGACTGAATGCTGATTATCCAAGCGTAGCTTAGATGTGACACAAGGCCGAAAGTAGGGGGCACCCAGTGAGAATCGAACTCAATACTCGTAATTGTTCTAGTGAAACAAACTTGCTAACCATTACACCGCCTCGAGGTGCCCTAGCTTAGATGTGGCACAAGGCCGAAGGTAGGGGGCACCCAGTGAGAATCGAACTCACGACACAGTCGTAATTGTTCTAACGAAACAATCTTGCTAACCATTACACCGTCTCGAGGTGCCTAAGATGGACCGAACATGTGAGCAACAACAAAGTTCTCGAGAAAATGGAAACTAAAAAAGGGTACATAGACTAAACATCAAGAAGAGACAGTTGAAATTACTAAGTAAAATGACTGATGAGGAAAGAGGGCTTGGGAAGTTGAAAGGAAAAGACATTAAGAAATTATTTATTATAAACGTGCTTGTCTGTGTGTGTTTGTGACACGTGCACATGGATGTGTGCTTGTGTGTAAGAGTTCAGACGACAGTCAACCGGGAAAACGAATGTATACCAGAGGGGACGTCCGTCATCTAAGTTCTACTACATCTTGGAGCAAGAGGAAGAAAGAGTCAGGAAATATTTGTCATTTTTTATACAACTTAAACAGCGCCACCTAATGGGGTTTTGGCGAAGCCATCTGGAGTAACCCACAAGTGTTATTAAACCCCTTAGTACCAATGCCTAACAGTAATAACATGGGATTAAAGAGGATACAGGGCAATGCTACGTAAACATACTAGCTTAATGTTTATACTTTGGAATTTTCATTTCAACTTGTTAAATCTGACTAGTCAGCCATATAAACCAATCGACTGGGGCACCTCGACGTGGTGTCATGGTTAGCAAGCTTGTCTCGTTAGAACAGTTGCGATGTGAGTAGTGAGTTCGATCCTCACTGGGTGCCCCATACTTTCGGCCTTCTGCCACATCTAAGCTACGCTTGGAAAATCACTATAAACCAATCGACTGACCCATCGCTAAAGTGTGGTCAGTTTTAACGAAGAATTAACTTTTTTCAACTGCTATCTTTTTTTTCTTTTTTCTTTTCATTCAAATTTCTTACCAATTCTTACCATATTTCCGCTGACTAAAACTGACCATTGAAATAGTGGCTGTAATTTTAAGGCATTTTTTCCCATTTTATTTTTCTATCTTACTATATTTTAAAACCATTTCCTTCAAGACATAGATAATCATTTTTCTACATAAATTTCTTTTTCTTTCTTAACCGTCAATTGTAATGGCTTCTTTGGAAAGATGTTGGGCACTACTTAAGTTGACTGGTCCGCTCGTAAAAAATAAGATTTTTTTAAAAATATTTTTTGTAGATTAGCATTTATTAACAAAGGACGAAAAGTGCGGCACTGAAGAAAAAGTTTTCAACGGAAGGTTACAAAATTCAAGAAATATTGTTTATGCATCTGATTATGTATGAGAGAATGTGTGAATGAACAAGTGAGAAAGAAACGAAAAAAAAAATTAATAAACGTCATTTTCCTAACGGGATTAGGCTCGCCATTCAGAAAGCCAAACGGGCTAAATACAGCCTACTGCTGAACCTGCCGTATTCTATCGACGCAATCAAATCACACAGATTCTGTTTGTATTCCAAATGTAAGGAGGAAGTTCTACTCAAATAGCTTTTCCCCCAAGCATGAATTGTTATTTTTTGGATCAGACTCCCGTGTGGAAGCTTTCCTGACTATTATAATCTTAAACTCTCCAAGTCCAGGGTCAGTCGTTATCTATCGTTTTGTCTATGACTGCATTGATGTTGAAAGCGAAGAGCCTCATTAAAAGTGCAACCCAAGACATTTCTCTATCTTCTAGGTTAGTTATACAATGATTTCCTAGATCCTATCTCTGGATGAGGATCACAAGCTGATATATAATAATATATTACGATATATGTGGTGTTACTCAGAGGTTCTATGGGAATTGCAAGACCACTCATTTGGTCTCGAAAAGACAGAGGTAAAAATACTACAAGACAAATGGTTTAAGCTTCCCAAGATCACAAATTTATGTACATATACACATATATTGGTACAGAATGAGAGATTGCTAAATATTGATGCATTTAGTAGTTAATGATTCAGTTACAGAGTAATATTTAAGAAAGAAGGGAGGAGCATGAGTAAGCTTAGAAATGTGTTTATAAGTTTATATATGATCTCTTATTTGGTCTGGTCTGTCACGAATCTTGATTGTGGAGATGGTGTTCTTGCTTAAGTTCAGCTTCATAAGTTCTGGTTGTTAGAAAGCTATGTTTTTCTCAGTCTGACCGCTTCGTAAATGGTTAGAGAACTCTGTTCGGAAGCTATGATATTTACGTCAGTCCTCTTCATAAATGGTTAGAGGACTCTGTTCGGAAGCTATGATATTTACGTCTGTCCTCTTCATAAATGGTTAGAGGACTCTGTTCGGAAGCTATGATCTTTACGTCTGTCCTCTTCATAAATGGTTAGAGGACTCTGTTCGGAAGCTATGATATTTACGTCTGTCCTCTTCATAAATGGTTAGAGGACTCTGTTCGTCAGCTATGATCTTTACGTCTGTCCTCTTCATAAATGGCTAGAGGACTCTGTTCGGAAGCTATGATCTTTACGTCTGTCCTCTTCATAAATGGTTAGAGGACTCTGCTCGGAAGCTATGATCTGTCTTCTTCGTAAATGGTTAGACTCTGTTTGGGAGCAATGGTCTATATGTCTGCCCACTTCGTCAATGTCCGCTGTTCTGAAGCTATAGTCACTGTCTAAGTCTGTCCGCTTCGTAAATGGTGGTGGAAGTCCTTTCTGTTTGGAAGCTATATCTCCTCTCCCAACGAACCCTCTCCGGTTTCAATCTCCCCCGCGTGCCGGTGTCGAATCTCTCTGGGAACCCCGAGTTAAATCACTAAGGGGCGATAACCTATATTTTCCATAGTTCAGAGAATTCGAAGAGATTGGTGAGTTGATGAAACTGACAAGGTACCTAGTGTTTTCCGTGTCTTGCCCGACATCCCACACATTTCTGTAATGAAATCATTTATTCTTATTGAATAGAGAACGTATATTTCTGCTATTTTGTATTACTTTTGTTGTTATTCATTATTTAAGTTATATATATTCAACTATATTGTCAGTTTTACTACGTCGTTTTCAAGCACCAAGAAAAATATGGACGCAAAAAAAAAAAAAAAAAAAAAAAGGCGAAAAACAAAGAGGGTAGGAAAAGAAGAAGAGGAAGGGAAAGGAAAGGTAGGTATGGAAAATGTGTAAGGGAAAGAAATGAAAAAAAAGTGGAAGAGGTGGAAATAAAAAAAAGAGAAAGAGGAGAAAAAGAGATAAAGAAAGAAAGGATTAAAGAGAGAGTAGAAATGGAAAATGATTGAAGGAAAGACATGATAGAGAAAGATAAAAGAAAGAAAAAAGAAGAAAAAGATAAAAGAATAGGAATGGAAAATGGGCAAGGGAAAGGAATGAAAAAAAGAAAGAGAAAAATAATGAAAGGATAAAAGAGAGAGTAGGAAAGAAAATGAGTAAGGGAAAGAAATGAAAAAAAAGACAAATGAAAAAGAAATGAAAAAGAAAAAGAGAAAATAAAATAAAAGAGAGATTAAGTGTGGATAAACACTTCCTTTATCTATGATCAGTGTAGCAACTGTGTGCCCAACCTGACTTAGTAATTACAAGTTAATTTTAATTGTACTAGGCCACGCAACCGGTTCTTTAGAGATTTCAAATAGCTGGAGACTTTCCAGATATAGCACATGCATTTATTTGTTTGCATTGAAATTTTCTGAGCGGCATCTTAAATTCATAATGCTAGTAAAATCTTAGAAGTTTCTTTCAAGCTTTCTCAACTCATTATTGCTTGTATTGTCAATTGTACGCCATCATTTTCAATTCCCAAGAAAATAGAGAAAAGAAGAAGACGGGTTTCGCATAAACCTACAGGAAGGGAAATCGGTCTGCGTTTAGAGGAGGAAAAGAAAGGGAAAGAGAAGAAAAGAAAAAAGAGAAAGGGAAGGAAGATAAGAAAGAGAAAGACATGAAAAAGAGAAAAAAAAGAAAGAAAAAAACAGAGTAAAAATGAATCCTTTCATTTTTACTCTAAGAGAATAGTAATGGAAAGAAAGGAAAAACAGAACGAAAAGGAAAGGAAAAAGAGAAAAAGAAAAGGAAAAAGAGAAAGAAAGGAGTAGGATGGGAAAAGGAAAGCGAAGAGAAAGAGAAAAATAAGAAAAAATGGAGATGAAAGGATGATGAGAAAAAGAAGGAAAAAAGAGAGAGGGTAGAAAGGAAAAGACAAACAGAAAGAATGGAACGAAGATAAAGAGAAGGGAAAGAATATGAGGAAAGGAAAGAAAGAAAAAAGACAGAAAACTAACAGGAAAATCAAATAAAATCAAACAAAAAAACAATAAGTGAAATGAGAGAAAAAAAAAAGAAAAAAATATAGAGAAGGAGAAAGAAAAGAGAAAGGGGAAACGAGAAAAGGGGAGAAAGTAAAAAATAAGCGGAGAGAGAAGGAAGGAAATTCAGTGAGTAAGAGCGAGATAGATAGATAGATAGATAGATAGAGAGAGAGAGAGAGAGAGAGAGAGACAGTTGGGGAGAGGAGAGATAGAAAGCAAGTAAAAATAGGGAGGAAATAACAAAATGAAGAGGAGAGAGAAGGAACGAAAAATAAAAAAAACTAAGAGCGAAAGATAGGTAGGTAGGTAAGATAGATAGATGAAGATAGAAATAGAGAAATAACGAGATAGATAGAGATAGACAAAAAGGTAGATAGATAGATAGATAGAAAGAGACAGAGATAGAAGACAAGTAAAAAGAGAGAGGAAATAACAAAATGAAGGAAAACATTAATCTTTTATGATTCTAAAAGAACTCAAAAAATTTGAAAAGACCTTGAATTGCAGAAAAAGGAATGCGCAATGGAATACAAAATAAATAAATAAATAAATAAATAATAATAATAATAATAATAATAATAATAATAACATTTCCTCCATAATGGTAGAGCATGTCCAATGCTCCATCTACTAAAGTGATTGTTCATCATAACGTGTTCAGGGTCATTTCCATCACCAAGTGAATGGCAAGTGCACCTCCTTGTGACCTGCATCAAACAGACGCAGTTTTTCTGTCTGCATCTCTTCCCTTTCCTCCTTACTTACTTCTCCTCCCTCCCATCCCTTTCTCTTTTCTCCCTTTCACCTGGCTCCTCTTCCCCTCACCTCTTCTTTTATTGTGCAGTAAGGCATTTTCGCTACAATGCAACAGATTAATTCAACAACAGTTGCCGCAGAAGTTAGCGACAGACCAGAAAACTGCTATTCTCTTTTACCTCCTTCCTCCCCCACCATAACTAAGTACTGCTGTTCCATTTACCTATTCCCCCTCCCGCTGGATACACTTGACTGCAGTAATACCGCTATAGAAAAGACTTAAAAACAGCATTATATTTCTTAAAAGGAGTAGGGCGTTTTTTTTTTCTTTTCTTAATAAAGTTATTCATTCATTTGGTTATATATTATTTTTTTTTTTCAATTTTTTTTTTTAAGTCTACCAGAGGATTATTTTTATTCTTGCTATCTGTTATTTCTTTTAGGCTTCGACATTTCCTTCCTTTCTTCCTTACTCCCCCTCCCTGCCTTGTTTATCTGTCATTTCTCTTTTAATTGTTGTTCTTACTCCCTCTTCTTGAAATGCGCATTCGCCATGTCTCTCTTTTACGGTCGTTTTCTTCATGTGCGTTCTTTACACTGCTCTTTCTTTTCACATTTTTATCACCCTCTCGTTATCTCTCTTTTTCTCAATTAGTTTTTCTCACTCATACAATCTCTCTTACTCTCCCCCTCTCATTCTCTTGTTTCTATCCTTTTTCTTCTTTTTTTCTTGTCTAATTTTACCACTCTTTCTTTTTTATTTCTTTACCCTTCTTTTTCAATTCATCACTTTTCAATTTTCATTTGTTCCCCCTCTCTTTATTATCATCTTTCTACTTCTTTTTCCTCTTTTACATTCTCCCTTTTTATCATCATCTATCATTCTCCCTCTCTTTCTTATTTTCCTTATTTCCTTTTTAATTTCTACTCTCTCTCTTTCTATTTTTTGTCTTCTTTTTTTTTTTATCTCATTCTCCTTTCTACATTTTCGCCTTCCATCTTTTTATTCTCTTTTCTTTCTTTTTTAATCCTTTCTCCTCTTGCGTTTGGTTTCTTCTTCTTCTTCTTCTTCTTCTTCTTCTTCTTCTTCTTCTTCTTCTTTTGTTGCTGCTGCTGCTTTACTCTTTCTTTCACCTTTTACTTCTTTTTCTTATTTCCCTTTTTTTCTATTCTTTATCTTTTCGTCCTCTAAATTGTATCTCTTCATTTTTATTTTCTTTACAATAGTTCTCTTTTTTAGCTATCCCTTTCTTTCAACTTTTATTCGAGTGGCTCTTGGGCCTTGTATGGGGTGAACATTATTATTAAAAAAATACACTAGAAAATTGCGTTTTCTTTCCCCTTTGTTCTTGTTCATGCCTCTCTTTTCTCACTTTTTCCATCTTTTAAGTACACTATCTCCTATTTCTTTGAACTGAACTTTTATTTACTATTTATTTACTTTTTTGTTCCTTAATAGGAGTAGATAGATTTGTCTATCATCCGGCTCACACTCCTCCCCGGTTTTTTGAGCAAGAGTAGAGGTTTATCCCTGGGTTCTTGTTTAGGATTGGATTTCTGCTTCCTTCTAAAGTTTTTTTCCCTTTTGTTGGACCCTTTGCATCTTGATGGTATTATCACCTTGCTTGGAATGGCGCCTCTTACACTGTAATCATCTACCTCGAGTGGCTCTTGGGCCTTTACTCTTTTTGTCTTTCCTTTTATACCTATTGGGAGTGGGAGGTGCAGTAGCAATATCAGTGTCAAGAAAGGTCCAAGTCGTTAGTCGTCTCGCTCCTATTTCATGACTGTGACACGGGGGGCGGACGGAAAAGAGGGGTAAAGTGATGTGACACCAAAGTCTTTAAAAAAAAACTGCTCCGAACCTCGTATAAGGATCTGGCTTAGGGCCGCATCACACTGAAACACCGGTTACCGTGCGATCACTGAAGTTGAGCAACGTCAGGCCTGGTCAGTATCTAGATGGGTGACCACTTGTGAATACCAGGCTCTGTAAGTTTAACTGTACGGGTTAGGTAGTAGATAATGCCTCTGAATTGTTAAGCGGCGAGTCGAGTTCCAATTCAGGTCGGGTTTGTTATATTCACTTAAGCACAAATACCATTGGGAAAGGTATGAATCCAACTTTTCTATCCCCAGCTATGGGTTAATTAGTAATAGTTGTATCTCTAAACCATTATTATCTCCAAAACAAAGGAATTCTTGCAATCTAAAAATATTTTCTAGCTTTAAATAACCTGCCAAGGTTTTATATACGCCGTAGAATACAAATATATCAATCGTACAAGGAATTCGAAAACAAAAGAATTCGTGAGGAGCCGGGTCGAAACACTCACTTGTGGGTTTCCAAGAACAACTTTCTCACCGTTGTGTGGTGATTTCCCTTTGTCTCTTTCACAAATATTTTCATTGCAATTTTTTCTTTTTTTTATGTGCGTGTGACAATCAGCAAAAATACGGCTTGGTCGAAGTATTCATCTTTCGTTGTCTTCATGGATTTTTCGTCTAAATGCGCTTAAATGTGCCCAAAGTTCTTCATTGACAGTAAATTAGAATCGGACCAACTACTATTTCCTGGTGGGAAACACATGCAACAACAAAAACAATAATGATGTAATCAAATAAACAAAAGAAACAAAAGAATTTTTTTTTCTCGGAGTTTAACATCCAGCCTGACCACCACATCTTAGCAAAATTACGGCTTGATCAAGTTGTTCGTCTTTCGCTATTTTTATCTTTTAGGATTTTAATTAAAAAATACATTTACAAAATTACCATTCGTCCGTGCATTAAATACTGCTGTTATATTTGATCTGATGCTCCGACTATATATCCTGAGATTCTTGATAAAATTCAAAGAAGTGTCTGCAATGTAATCGATCCTGACCTGGCATCTCGACTTCAGTCACTTTTCCACCACCATAACGAGACTTTCCTCTGTCTTTTCAACAAATATTTTCATGGAAAATTTTTCTGATGAACTTTTCCCCCTGGTGCTTTGATTACATAAATTTAAGTGTGCTACTAGATTGGTAATTAGCTCTCACTGTTTTTTCCATAAACTAACTAAATGCAACCGTCTCTTCTATTCCAACAATTTATTTTCTCGAACTTCTCGCCTGTGGAACTCCCTTCTGATTTCTTGCTTCCCTGATAACTACAATCTTCGAAAATTTACATGCAACGTCAATCGCTATCTTTTGTCCACCTGTTCCTTTATTGTCCTTTCCTGACTCTTCATTAAAGTCTTCTCGTTCTCTTTCATTTCCTGTCATCCCCTGCGTCGTAGTGGCATTATTGCCTTGATTGGGGTGAAATGATTAAAAACATTCAATTATTTAAGCTGACTTGATTTTTGGCAAGATGTCAGAAAAGACACTCTGGCCCAAACTATCATGCATCCACAGTTGGGAGAAGACTGAAGACGCCGGCGACAATACAATAAATGATTTGATAATATGAGGCCTAAACAGGGATGACTTTCCAGGATCTTACTAATTACCAATTCCAGGTCGTTTGTATCGTTAGCACTTCTGTCCCATCTGAGATGAGAGACTACAGATAAAGATGCCGAGAACTCCTTCAAATTTTATTCTTTTTCTATATTTTCCTTCATTTTTTTTTCATTCCCGAATATCAACACTTGTCTATGCTTTTTAATTCTGTTATGTTTTCATTTCCTTCTTTTTCATTCTCATACGCCTTTAGTTTCGTTCTCTTTCATTGTCATGTTTTTTTTTCATCTCTTTCTTGTTCACTCCGACGTTTCCTTCTTTTTCTACCCTTTCATTCTCCTGTTTCTTTCGTTTTCTTCTTTGTTTCTTTCATATTTCCTTCATTTCTTTCTTTCTTTTTCTTTCTTATATTTAGTCCTGCCACCCACTCTCTTTAAACCTCATCGGAGTTAATGATAATTTCAGCTCCCCACCTACAACTCTACTTCTAAATCTTCTCCTCCCCTTCTCCTTCTCCTACTCCTCTTTATTCAGTCATTTTGTTTGTTTTTTTTTCACTTAATTAATTTATGCATTTTATTTGTTTGTTTGTTTTTTGTTTTTTCGAGAAAAATAAACAGCCCTCCTTCTACGAGACACTTTGCCTTGACAATTGTGTTCAACCATTTTGAGAAAAATAAAAAGCAGAAAATTGAAAAATGAAAAAAAAAACAACAAAGAATTAAAATTAACGTCATTCTTGATCAAGAAAAGAAAAAAAGACTTTTAATTTTTTTTTGGAAGACGAAATCAGAAATGTGGAAAATGAAACAAACAAAATTCAGATCAAATATTTTTCAGCTCTAATAAGCATTAAATATGTAATCAGTAATGTTCAAAATAAGCGAAAAATAAAAACAACAATACAGTCTGATTATCTTATACTTAGATATTTATTCTTATATTTAATATGTTTAATATTATTCCCCTTCTGTCTGTCTGTCTCTTTCCCTCCGTCTCTATCTATGTATCACCGTCTCATTCTCTATCTCCCTTGTCTATTTGTCATTCTATATCTCTTTCTGCCTGTCTAGATCTTTTTGTCTCAGTTTGTTTCTATCTCTCTATATATATGTTTTTCTAACTCTCTTTTTCAATCTGTCTCTCTCTCTCTCTTATCTATCTATCTATCTATCTATCTATCTATCTATCTCTGCGTCTCACTTCTTTTCTCTCTTCCCGTCTGTCTATCATGATCTCTCTCTTTCTATCTCTCTCTCTCTCTCTCTCTCATCCTTTAATATTATTCCCTTTTGTTCTCTCTGTGTGTCTGACTCTTTGACTCTCCGTCTCTATCTATATATATATATCGCTGTCTCACTCACTTCCTCTTCATCTCTCTCTTTCTCATTCTATATCTCTGTCTGCCTGTCTATTTCTTTTTGCCTCTCTATGTTTCTCTCAATATATCTTTTTGCCTCTATTACTCTTTGTCTAACCTTCTCTTTCACTTCCACTCTCCCCCACTCTCTTTTTTTACTCTCTTTCACTCTCCCATTCTTTATCCTTGTCTATTTCTGTCGGTTTCTATGTATTTCTCAATATGTCTTGCTGCCTCTCTTTATCACTGACTGTCTCTAATTCTCTCTCTCTATTTGTCCTTCTGTCTTGTTCTTTTCTCAGTCTCTATGTATATATCTGTATCACTCTCTGTTTCTTTGTTTCTCCCCTTCTCTTATTCTCTATCTTCCTCTACCTAACTGTTTTCTCTGTCTGCCTATCTCTATCTCTGTTTCTCTCTATCTTTCAATATGTCTTTCTGCCTCTCTCTATCACTTTGTGATTCTCATTCTCTTTCACTCACAATAGCCCACTTGTCTCTTAGAGGCATAAATGCAAAACACACATCTTAAGCGTCCTGGGTATGACGATAAACTACATCTGCGTCCAGGGCATAACGATAAACTACATCCGCGTCCTTGGTAAGACGATAAACTACGTCCAACAGCAAGGCCTCTGATCAGGAAGTTTTGAGGAACGTGGAACCACCTCTAAATTGCTAATGTTCTCAGGTCCACCCTGACCCAGGGTGGAAGCATATGTTATGGTCAGAGCTATGGGCAAATAGTTAACCCCCAAACTGGGGTCAAAACACTATGTAAGAGTTAAAATAGATTTTACCAGAAATACTTTATAAAAAAATTATTGCCAACAATGCATTCTTGATAAAAAAAAAAGACATTACCAGCTGTACATTTTTTAAGAAAAAATATTACCAGAAATAAAAATTTTGTCAGCATTAAATAACCCACTGAGGTTGATATGCCGTAAAACAAACCAAACCAAACCAAACCAAACAAACCTTAATTTAATCCATTTCATCTGTTGTCATTGTTTACGTTAGGTTACGTTTCAGAGCAGATATGTTATATCGAGAAAAATCGTCAAAGATGTGTGTTTATAAGCAGTAATTTGAATTTTTCCAGTCGGAAGTTCTCTACGACTGGTTAACAGCACGTAAGACCAAATGACAGTTTCAGTATGGGATAGAGGTTCGATTCCTGTCAGAGGACACATATTGTCTACGAAATTCAAGCCGGTAAATGTAATTGATACTGTTTAATTAAAAACAGAGAATTTACTCAAAGAAATTGTATCCATAAGAATAACGTATAAATAGAATATATATATATATATATATATATATATATATATATATATATATATATATATGAAGAAAATATATACGGAAAAAAACAAACAAAATCCTTATATACAATTATGCTGTTTATTAGACCGAAACGTCTGACGTTGACATATTAACATTAAAACAGCATAATTGTATATAAGGATTTTTGTTTGTTTTTTCCGTATATATTTTTCTTCATACTGTCGGATCTATATCCATATATTTGCTTACATTTCTTGTGACGCGTTTCATCAAATTAAATCATAACGGATGAAATTAGTCACAAAAAAATTTCCAGTTTGTGAAATTATATATATATATATATATATATATATATATATATAATTTACTCAAAGATATATTTACTCAATATACTTATATATATATATATATATATATATATATATCAATATATATATATATATAGAGAGAGAGAGAGTGAGAGAATATATTACATCCATAAGAATAACGTATAACTAGAATATATATATATATATATATATATATATATATATATATATATATATATATGTGTGTGTGTGTAAAAAGAAAATAGTTTTAAGGTTTGCTGTATTTATGAGATAAAGTGCTCAATATCAGAGATAGAGCGTATGTAAAATAAAAGTGAACATTGAAGTGAACACACAGAGGCGACAGACTGTTTCATGCTAAACGCAATCATCAAATCATCTGTGGACTGATGATTGCGTTTAGCATGAAATAGTCTGTCACCTCTGGGTGTTGACATCAAAATTGCTTATATATATATATATATATATATATATATATATATATATATATATATATATATATAAATATATATATATAATTCAGTTTTTTTCTTATGGGAGCAGCGGCAAAGTTTTAGAGTAAATGGAAACAAAAAGAACACTTTTATTTAACACCAGAAAGAGATAGAAGAAATTTGTGGTGCACCGGCTGGTGGAGCAGAGGTGTTTACACTGTAACAGCAGCAAAAAAGCAACCTGTCTCGATCAAGCTGAAACATTGATCACGTGACCTTAATAGTACCAATTATAAGAACGCATGCGCAGAAGGCAGTGTGACAAACCTAAAGATATATTATGGCGAAAGTTCGGATGATTTTTTACATTTGTTCAATTTCCTTATTTTCTAGAGTAAATTTCTTATGAATGATCCATCCGCCGATATATTTGAAATATCTGGCATTTACTAATTCCACATCCTGAATTTTTAGGATGGATTAAGTGTATGTACAATAACTGCTTTTATTCTAATTACAGATTATAGATTTTGTTTCGGAAATAGTTACCTCAACTTCTACTTATTTTTTCTTGATCCGACATTATTTCTTATTAATAATGACGGAATTAAAAAATCCATTAATGGCTAAAAAATAGAGTGAGCATGCGTAGACTTCGAAAAGTCCCAACGAGAGATATGCATTGCTTAAACAAGGCAACTAACTCATGCTTTGCTTTGATAACTTCTCGTAGCTTAACGGTTAGTCACTCTTGGTTTGAAAGTGGTTTCTTCGATTAAAAAGGGAATACATGTTCTATTCTTGTCGGCACATTTTCTTTCACTATCACGAGTCCCGTAACCCATTAGGGTCGTACTTGTATCATATGTACTGCAGCCGTTGCATCAGTGGTGTGTCTTGAGCAGGGTATCCTGATTGAGCCCAATCCTCTCCAGGTTGGTTTGAATTCAGAGTTTTTCTACTCTTACTGGTTGACAACTAAGGATATAGAGCCGAGTTTATACTAATATTATGTGAGAATTGGGCTAAATCTTTCCAAAAGAAAACCTATTATTTGGAATTGAAATGAAAGTAGTTAGGGAGTAAGACATCGATTCATATCTTTCCCAAGGGTATTTGCTCATTAGTGAATCCAACGAACTCAATTGGAATTCGAACTCGGCTCAGTCCGAGCAGCTATCTATTACACCACCGCGCATCCACATTTTCTTTAGTTGGAGATAAAAAAAAGAAGAAAACTTTAAGAATAATAAGGAGATATAATTCACAGAACCAGTGAGTAATATTATTCATTAAATGCAACATTCAACTAAGCAATAAAAACTGATTTTATATTCTTAAAAAAAAAAAAAAGACGACAAAAAACACTGATTAATTTGAAATGAGTAATGTCCTCTATTTCTTTTCATTATCCCGGTCAAGGCAGTCATAATAAGAAGACGAAAATAAAGAAAGAAACAATTGAATTATTTAGGATCAGGAGCCTTGACGGGTCAGGAGAAATTGAACGAAGCGATTCAAATGCTTTTGTCCAGGTTGTTCTGTCAATTCGACAAAATGGCACTTGAGAATTGCATTTATTTGTCCACAGCGAATACTTGACTTCTGTGAACTCGAATGACCCTTCATTTTATTTATTTACTTATTTTTTTAGAGAAGAGACAGATTTACAGTGTCTTGCTTCCTCCTAATTCCATACCTGAAAGAACGGACTCACCCCTGTCATATCGGGAGAAAGAAAAAGTGAGAGAAAAAGAAAGAGATAAAGACAAAACATTTATTAGTGTATGTTTGCGAGTGTATGCTCGTTTGCGCATGCTCGGGTGTCGGTTTTATTTTCCACACACATTAAACTAATTGATTTGATTTGCTCACGAGAACACACCTCCCACTTTTATTGTTCTTTCAAACACAGTTGACCGGTCACTGTTTTCAATGAAGTAATATGTCAACCAGGGTTCAGGAGCAGAATGAAGGCAAACGCGCTATGGCGGAGTTCATGCGTTCCAAAAAAAAAAAAAAAATGAACAAGGATTATAATCTTTTGGGAAATATGTAGGCTCATTTCTAAAGGGAATAAGAACTGTCCGACTTGATTCATAGTCACATGCTTAAATCAGTATAAATAGAATAACAGATATACCCTGCCAATAAAACTTACATTAATTCCTGGATGCTGACAAATAGCTTTCCTCCTCATTGTCATCGGATTTGTACAGAAAAATCATTGGCAACGTTTTACATTGTACACATAATTCTCTTTTCTCAGTTACATTTTGTATTAATTTCTAGCCACTGACAACTCCCTTCTGCCTATATCTGTCTATATCTCTGAGAGGCCGTATTATGATTACATTACATTATTCGGAATGTCATCCTCATCTTCATTGCCATATTCACAACGTTTCGACCGTTGTACGCTCCGGTCTTCTTCAGGTGATTGGAATTTCAAATCGAACTCTTTATTTCGTCCAGCAGGGGGGGTACATTGTTCTAGTTCCACGTGCCATGCCTCTTCCGGATGTCTCAGTTATTCCCCTTTAACTCAACTCTCCAAGTCTTGGTTCCCCACTGCTGTAGTCTGTTACTGAATTCACAACTCTTTGAGTCTGGTCACTAGATCTTACCAACGCTTTTATCCACTGTGAACATGATTTTTAGTGGATCCTTGTATTTGAGTAAGCGCCCCGTTTATTTGTTAAACAGAACATCTATTTTCTTTTACCAGCCTGAATTTGCAATCTCCGGCGGGATTTAAACCTGTATTCTCCAGGGCAGAGGAAAGTACTGTTAAGCCCAGCACGCCTTAACCGACTTGACCAGATTTAGTACCTTCAAGTGAAATTTTTTCCTTCAAAGGTTTTCTCGAAGTTTTTCATATCTGCTCAGCTTCGTATCCTATACACGTGTGTGTGAAGAATCACTGCATTTAGATGCAAAGAAATAATTTTGAAAAGTCTTGAACACTAAGGGCATAGCAAATTCTGAGACAAAGAATTGATAAGATAGCCATCTCTTATTGGCATTTATATAGTCTTCGTGATCATAATTCATCTTCAGTAAGTTAATGTTATTAACCTATTTTGCAATTAACTAGCATCTATTCTGTCTGTACTACATTATAAAAAAATCCAAAAGCCAAAAACAAGAAAACAAAAAACAAAACAAAAAAACGACTGTCTCTTTAATTACAATTAGTCACTTTTTTCTTTAAATATAAGAAATTATATCTCCATCCATCATCTTTGCAAATGCATTGTGCTTTCGCTTTTGAAGTGTTGGACTACAAGATGAGATAATGTTAAAGATTTTTTTTTAAAAAGCCCCGGGTCTTTTTGTCTGTTTCTTCGTCCAATCAGCCAGCAGTCTTTTTCTGTCTTATTGGCAGGCGGCCGACATCTTTGTTCTAGAAGGGTGTGATTGTTAATTGTTATTAAGTCCGTATTCTCTCTAGAAATGACAGCTGAAAACAATGACTACAAAATGAAAAGTACGGACGGTCTCAGTAACAAACTTTGTTTCAAACAGAAGACAGAAACAAAAGGTGAAAAAAAAAAAGAAAGAGAAATCAGTCAATTTTCATTCAGACAAGATATGGCTACCGACTCCCCAAATCATTTTTTATTATCTATGGTACTCTTAATTTTAATGGTGGAAATGATACTTTTACCAAATACAAACGTAAGTGGGGATTAAACCTTCCAAGATAGGAAAGACTACAGCTGAATTTTTTATTATTCGAACCACCAGTGGCAGATGGTCTTTATGCAAGATGAATACCCATCTGTCATTAATATTAAGGATATGCACTCAAAAGAGTTCACGTCTCTCGAATAATTAACGTTTAAATCAGAAAAAAAGATATCCATTAAAAATAAATTTTGTCAGTATATTCGTCCTTGCGCTATCGCATGTTTTCGAAAGATATTTACAGGTTCTGTAAATCGAAGAATTCTGAATTTTTACGTTAGGACTATCTATCTATCTATCTATCTATCTATCTATCTATCTATCTATCTATTGCTTTGTCGGTTTCAATCTGTTCCTCTCTCGATGTGTTATCTATCTATCTATCTATCTATCTATCTATCTATCTATCTATCTATCTATCTATCTATCTATCTATTGCTTTGTCGGTTTCAATCTGTTCCTCTCTCGATGTGTTATCTATCTATCTATCCATCTATCTATCTATCTATCTATCCATCCATCCATCCATCCCAGTCTATCTCAGTCCATCCATCCATCTATCCATCATCCATCCATCCATCCATCCATCTATCTATCCATCCCAGTCCACATCCATCCATCCATCCATCCATCCATCCATCCATCTATCTCAGTCTGCTATCCATCCATCCATCCATCCATCTATCTATCCCAGTCTGCTATCTATCTATCTATCATCTATCTCAGTCTGCTATCTATCTATCTATCCATCTATCTATCTATCTATCTATCTATCTCAGTCTGCTATCATCTATCTATCCATCTATCCATCCATCATCTATCTATCTCAGTCCATCTATCCATCCATCTATCTATCTATCTATCTATCTATCTATCTATCTATCTCAGTCTGCTATCTATCTATCTATCTATCTATCTATCTATCTATCTATCTATCTATCTATCTCAGTCTATCTATCATATTCATCTATCTATCTATCTATCTATCTATCTATCTATCTATCTATCTCAGTCTGCTATTTATCTATCTATCTATCTATCTATCTATCTATCTATCTATCTATCTATCTATCTATCTATCTGCCTGTTTCATGTATATGGCATATATTCTAATGTGCTTTCCTCCTTGGTACCTCGACTGCATGGCTTTAGGCGTAGTACTAGATTGGCTATTAGGTCTCATTGTTTTACTTTTGAAATAGCTAGATGTAACCGTAAGTTTTAGTCTAATGAATTCTATTTCTTTGCTCGCTCTTCCCGCTTGTGGAACTCTTTTCCGGTTTCTTCCCTGCTTGTCACCACCCATCTTCAAAAGTTTAAATGCGCCATTAATCGCCATTGTCTGTCCTCCTGAAGTTTCTTCTTTTATTGCCCTTTCTCGTCACTAACGTTTTCTCATCCTCTTTCAGTCTCAGTAAAACCTTGCGTCTCAGTGGCATTATCGCCTTGCTTGCGGTGTAATGATTAAAAAGAAATGCCCGCTAAGAATTTACGCTTTTCTTTGTTATTTTTAAATTAGCATTGTTTCTGGTAGTTTTCCCCACGATTTGGAATTTAGATTTTTTTTCTTTCTCCTTGACTGACTGCCACCCAAGGTCAGAATGTCCAGTCCACCATTTAAACTACGACTGGGAAAAAGAAACGCATTTATGCTCTTCCAAATAATAATAAAAAAAAATCCAAAAACCAAAAGTTATGTAGTGATTTTCTAAGCACAGATTAGATGTGGCACAAGGTCGAAAGTATGGGGCACCCAGTAAGGACCGAACTCACTACTCAGTCGTAATTGATGTAGCAAGACAAGCTTTCTGCCCATTACACCACGTCGAGGTTCCCAAGTTATAAGTTGGGTATCAAGCTGCGATTGAATGCAAGTGAAATAAGAAACGTTATATTATACATAATAACAGTGTGCGAAGAAGGCAGGTGATCTGTCGTCGTGGTTATGACTAAGCGGGCTTGTTCTGATTCAGAATTAACAGACCACGAAGCCGAAACCAGATGTTCTATGTTGCGTTTATCAGGAATCACTAGACGGTGACGTTAAGGGCCGAGCATTCGCTTTGTCTTTTTGTCTGGTCAGAAATTTATTTGCTGTCAATGTCGATGGATTTTAAAAAAACGTTTTACTCATATTATGAATAAAGTCTGATAAACAATATATTGATTTAATCGATTCTTAAATCATTTGTGATGTTCATTAAAATTCACTTGTGATCAAATATCACTTATATTTCAATAGTGAAACTATCGAATATATTTTTTTTAATCGATTCGTCCCAAATTATGTGATAATGCCACTAAAACACAACAGGCTACTGGAAGTGAAAAAGAATGAAGAGATTCCAGAAAGAACCGGAAACCCGATCCTAAACAGAAAACAAAGGATGAACCGCAACTCCTGACCCAAAGACCGGGAATCAGCATGAACCAGAAGACAAGCGAACCTATTTAATACAATTGAAGAGTCGGGACAAAAAAAATTAGAAGATAAAATTTCAGAGTTCAAGCGGAGACATTAGAAGTATAGAGTTGAAGTAGTCTTTAGAAAGCTTTACCGGAAACCTGATCCTAATCAAGGGATAAACCTCTACGTCTGTTCCAAAGAATGGAGAGGAATATGAACCGGACGATACACAGACCTATCTACTCCAACTGAAGAGCTTTAGTAAATAATTAGTAAATAACTGTTCAGTCAATGAATGCGGAATGTTTCCCGTTTTAAAACGACTAGTTGCACCATTACCACTATGTTTGATGTCCTGGGTATAACGATAAACTACATCCGGCAGCAAAGCCTTTGATCAGGAGGTTTTGAGGAGCGTTGCTGTTGTTCCCAGGTCCACCCTGACCCGGAGTGGTAGCATCTCACCTCAAATCTCACCAAATATATTATATTTGAGTCCGTAAACATTTGCTAGAAGGGAAAATAATTGTTTAAAAAACCTTGCCATAAACAAAAAGCTAGGAAGGAAACTACCATCAATACAAGGGAGAGCAATAACGTTCAGTGTACTTGAGAAATTTAAACTCCTGAAAAAAATTCAACTATTGATATTAATGTTCAGTCAAAGAATGCTGAATGTTTCTTGTAGGGAAACGGTTAATTTTGCCATTACCATATTCAAGCGTGTTATTATTACAACTACTGAAAGAATTTGTAGAACCCAGCCAGAAAATGACATTCCCACGAAATAAAATTCGATATAAACGCCGAAATTCGAGACCCCACGCTCTTCATTCTAACGTTCTCTCAAATGAGTTATTTCGTATTATGAGTGACAGTCTGGCCATTATTCTTGTCTGTCACTTTAATGGAGATCATATTTCTCGAGAAACTCTATGTCCACTATCATTCCTCGCTAGACTTTTTTCTTTCTTTTCTTTTTTTTTGATTCACACGCAAAGTACCTTCATTTCCCGCTTGATCAACAAATCTCAAAGACACTCAAAGAAGCTTTTACAGAATTTATTGACTCCAGAAATAATGGTTTATACAACCGAATCATTAAAAAAAAATATCGTTATTGCTTCTTCTATGCGTCGTGTCCATTCGGAACGTTGGCGATCATACCTCTCCACAATTTCCTGTCCTTTGTAGCTCTTAAATTTTGTCTTTTTGTTATCTCTCGTAAACATTGTTCCGCCATTTATTTACTCAAGCTCGCCAACTAGGTTATACGTTGTTTCCTTCTTGCCCTCAATCTGTCCTGTGAGTATCAAATTTTCCAGTCTCTCTTTCCTCAATATGCACTCTCGAAATTCCAGCTATCTTTTTATAATGTTAATTATAAATTTCTTTTTTTTTGTTTTCATTATCTCTAACACTTGCTCACATGTTCAGTCCATGGTATTCTCGGGATCCTTTTGTAGATCTACAATTCTATTTTCTTTCAGTTCTTTCATTGTATGTGAGGAGACTGTTTAGTATTCACTGCCATATATGAGGACTGATAATACTCAGTTCTCTTTGTTTCTAATGAAATTTTCCTGTTTCATAATACTTTGCTTAGCTTTAAATATTACCATGTTTCATGTTTAATCTCATCTATAATCACGTTTTCCTGATTTTTAATACTTAATTTCCCAATGCTTCGTCCGCGGTTAGACTATCGTTGCCACATATTGTCTGGTGCCCCTAATATTTACCTTGAGCTCCTTGATAAGATCTAAAGAAGAATCTGCAATACTTGTAGCCCTGATCTGGCAGCTCAGTTCAGCTCCAGTTATTTTTCTACCACCATAAGATTGCCTCTCTATGTCTTTCCTATAAATACTTTCATGGTAATTGTTCGAATGAGCTCTTCGCTAGACAGGCGTTGAGATCTCATCAATTTACAGTTAAATAGGCTAGATGTGGCCGTAAATTCTATGTTAACAGTTTTTTTTTTTCTTGCACTTCTCGCTTGTGAAACTCCCGGATCAATGCTTTCCAGAAAACGTTAATAAAAAAAAACTTAAATGCAATGTCAATGGCTATCTATTGTCTACATGATTACTCTTTTCTCTTTCTACTCATCATTAACGTTTCTCTTCCTAATTCGTCCAAACATTGTAACACCTCGTGTTTTAATGACATTACTGCCTTACCTGGGGTGGTTACAATAAAAAGCTTTAAATATTACCATGTTTCATGTTTTTTCTCATCTATAATTAGGTTTTACTGAAGGTCTTTTTCGTTGGCGAAATAGGCTTGTATCAAAGAGGGTTAACGCCACAGTGTGTTTTCCCCTAATATTGCCGTTTACTTACATTGTTTTTAATGGAATATATAAAACATTTTTTCTCTAGAAGAAAAATAGCTAAAGAAAATAAAGACGGGTCTTATATGTGAAGTCGATGCATTTGGTAGGTCTTATATGTCGATGTATTTGGTAGGTCTTATATGTGAAGTCGATGTATTTGGTAGGTCTTATATGTCGATGTATTTGGTAGGTCTTATATGTCGATGTATTTGGTAGGTCTTATGTCGATGTATTTGGTAGGTCTTATATGTGAAGTCGATGTATTTGGTAGGTCTTATATGTCGATGTATTTGGTAGGTCTTATATGTCGATGTATTTGGTAGGTCTTATATGTGAAGTCGATGTATTTGGTAGGTCTTATATGTCGATGTATTTGGTAGGTCTTATATGTCGATGTATTTGGTAGGTCTTATATGTGAAGTCGATGTATTTGGTAGGTCTTATATGCTGATGTATTTGGTAGGTCTTATATGTGAAGTCGATGTATTTGATAGGTCTTATATGTCAATGTATTTGGTAGGTCTTATATGTGAAGTCGATGTATTTGGTAGGTCTTATATGTCGATGTATTTGGTAGGTCTTATATGTCGATGTATTTGGTAGGTCTTATATGTAAAGTCGATGTATTTGGTAGGTTTTGTAGTCGATGCTTTGACAGGCACTATAGTCTGACAGATTTTGATTTAATGCTCTTCTGTAATTTTGAGATATTAAACGATTTCCCATCGTTCCAAAATATTATTTATTATTATTTTTATTTTTCATTTTTTCAAATTATTATTTTTATTTTTCATTTTTTCAAATTATTATTTTTATTTTAAATTAATTTTTTTAAAGTATTATTTTTATTTTTCATTTTTTTTTTAGTTAAATAAATAAATAGAATAAGCAAATAAAACATCAAGATTGTAAATAACCTACATAATTACCCCTAAACAAAAGAACTAAAAAAGCCAGTTACCTCCTTCCTCGGTAATTCCTCCAATGATCTAGATATAGAGCCCATTAAATGATTAGGTGTATATGGTCTAAAGATTTTATTGGGACGTGAAGTTGACAGTCATGATGCAGTGTCGATTACTATGACTACATTATCTGTTAACAAATTAAAATTAAATACTCACTTTACTGTCATTAATCTGAGTTTTGTAGAGAATACTTGCCACGGGGCTTGATAGTAAAAATGAATTTAATTTTCAGAAATCTTATTTTTGTCGAAACACAATCTTTGTTATATATATATATATATATATATAGATAGATAGATGGATGGATGGATTGTATGTAAAGGCTTACACCTACATCACGTTGAAACAGTTTTTTTAATGTCAGTTATCAAAGATGTCACTATGCCATGTGTCCTCGAGGACACATAGCACAGCGGATAAAGGCGTTGGTTAGATCCAGTGACAAGACCCAAAGAGTGTGAGTTCAATACCTGGTTAAGGTAGTGGATAACTTGGAGAGGGGAATTAACAGGAGATAACTGATAACTGACATACATTCAACATGGCACGTGGAACTAGAACAGTCTACCACAGTGAGCGAAATAAAGGTTTCTGTTCGACATTCCAACCACCGGCCTGGCGTACAACAGCCGAAACGTTGTAATAAATATGGCGACAAAGATGGGGACACTGGTTCGAATAATGTAAATATCTCTTTCTCTGTGTATCTATCACTCTCTGTAGAGTGATATCAAACGCTTCGTTTTTTTAGTTCGTTCGATGGCATTAGGATGATTTAGTTGTGAGTAACCTGATTCAAAGAGATCGCTTCTGACTGTATTGTGGCAGTCTCATGACCAGAACGAACCTTTTGGCCAATTCAATATGTACGCTGTAATTCTTGCAATGTTAAGAGCCAGACAAGGAGAGTGTTTCCCGCTCCCAACCCCAGCGACGCCGTCGCTATGTTTTATCTTATTTATCAACGAAAGGTGACGTTTGTGGTCTCTTTCGAAGGAGAGGTCGTCTCTGGAGCTCAACTGAAATGACTCCTTTGTCCATCTGCCGTGGTCGGGCAGATGGCTGTCTTTATTGAATGGAAGCAATATCGCAGCATTCTTCGCAGACATAAGCTATGTATAAATTATCCAATCAGACTATATCGCTAGTTCTTTCATTTGATAATCAGAAATGTCATCTTCGCGATCGCCATCATCATCATTATTGTTTAGATAGGAAGAGAAATGCACTTAGGCTCTACTGCAAATGTGGTAGTCGTAGACATGTTTGTTTTAGGCCAAACACTTTTTACTACTACTATAATGCATATGCTTATTTACACCAGTTGTCTAGTGGTTATCAACAAAAACCAATGAGAATAAACTTGCTCAAATAACCAGCACCTTCCACACTATTACTATGGTTTGGGCAGTCTCAGCTCTTGTTTTCAATGAAATTTTTCCTGTTTCTTAATATTGTGTCTTTGGAAGACATCTTGGACTATTCCAAAGCACCTTTGGATTTCAATGCCACATTATCCAGAGGGTGTTATAACCCTTCTGCTATGGTAATTTACCCACGTATACATGGACTCTTCCAGCTTTAAATAGGAGCAGGTACTGCCTTTTGGAAAGGGAGGTTTTCAGCAGTCAGTTCTGACAGTCGGGCCGAACATTCCTGCTGTAACACTCTCGTTTTTATATGTTTGTATTACTGTTTCTGTTAATATATTTGTTTAACTCAATTCCTCTCTTGTGTCTTTATTTCTGGCCTTAACAAGCCAATCACAGATAGATAGATAGATAGATAGATAGATAGATAGATAGATAGATCTGAACAAATGAGAACTGTTATGTTAATTTACCCACGCACGCATGGACTCTCCCAGCTGTAAATAGGAGCAGGTACTGCCTTTTGGAAGGTGAAGTTTCCAGCAGTCAGCTCTGACAGTCGGACCGAACATTCTTGCTGTAACACTCTCGTTTGTATATGTTTGTATTACTGTTTCTGTTAATATATTTGTTTAACACAATTCCTCTCTTTGTGTGTTTATTTCTGACACTAAAAAGGCCACAAAACCTTCCTTGATAGTTAAATGTTTGTACTTGCTTGATTTTGATGCCCCAAATATGAAGCACGCATGTTCGGCCCAACTTCTTGCTAATAACTATACAATCTGTTATCTTACAATTGAAGTTTAATTCTTTTTTCTTGCTTTCTCTTACTCCCTGGTCTAGAAGATCCTGCAGTTTTCTTTTTGAGTCTGTCATCAAAATGGTGTCATCTGCATATCTTGTATTGTCAAGGCGGCACCCACCTATAACAAATCCTGGTAGGATCTAATTCTCTAGATCGCCTCACTGAAGAGGCTAAATAAGTCTGGTGAGAAGACACATCCTTCTTTTCAGCTTCTTCCTGTTTTTGTGTACTTCATTTTCTATCCGTATGCAGCCTTTCCCAGTAAATATTATTGATTATCGTAAATTCTTTCCCGAATAAATCAAGTTTCCCGAACAGTTCAAATAGATTTCTGTATTGGACTTTATCAAATACATTAAGGTAGTGTATGAAACATAGGTATACGTCTTGTCGTATATATATTGATCTCTCTGATAGAAATCTGATGATGAAGATCGCATTTCTTGTTCCAATGTCTTTAATGAAGCTACACTGTTCTTGTCCTTTTTCCAGTTTAATTCTCCTTTCGGTACTATTCATGGGATCTGGATGATAAGTTTATATATGCGGTTCATTAACTTGATTGTCCGTTTCGAACGCGCATTCATCTCCACTTGTTTTCTTAACTAGCGCTACGAAGATGGCTCTACTAAGGCCTTCCAGTATTTCGCCACTGTTGTATATTTCACTGATTATTTCTGTAATGTAGAACTTCTTGTTCGTCGCCTCTCTGTATAGGTTAAATAAATCCGTCGAGAAGATGTATCACTGTCTTTCGTCCTTACACAGAAAACAAATATTCTGTCGGAAAAATATAATTCAGACAAAATTCTAAATTATTTCTATTTCTCAAGTAAATAGTCAGAAAGCGCTGGGTATGTGGCTAAAGCGAATATAACCGGTTTCCCCCGCAAACTCAAACACACCAATTCTGATTTCTATGCTGATGATTGTTACTCCGCCCACAAACATTATGATTATTGTTGTTGTTGTCATTAACCTTTTCCGAATCTCATTTGCGTGTCACGATATTCTCAACGGCATTAACCACATTTCTCTGTCCTTTTCTTTTTTCTCCCGGTCACCATAATTGCCGAGAACGGTTGAGTGTAGAATTATGGTTTGCCTCCCTCATTGAGTATTCACTTAACCTTAACAAATTCTGCTTTGTCGTATTTGGTGCTCGCGTTCTATCATTTGGGTTTGCTCCTCTGTCCGTTAACGGGTCTCGACAGGCGACAGACGTGCAGAAGGAATAAGGAAATAAAATGGAAAGGCGTTTAAAAGTTGTAACAATTCGCGCGTGCGCACACACACACACACACACACACACACACACACACATATATATATATATATATATATATATATATATATATATATATATATATATATATATAGCAAAAATATGGATATAGATCCAACAGTATGAAGAAAATATATACGGAAAAACCAAACAAAAACCCTTATATACAGTTATGCTGTTTTAATGTTTAAATTACAATGTCAACGTCGGATTTTGGTCTTAAACCATCTTTGTATTGATAAATTGTTATATTATTATGAATTTGTCTTTGAAGATGGTTTATTATGACTGAAACGTATGACGTTGACATATTAACATTAAAACAGCATAATTGTATATAAGGGTTTTTGTTTGTTTTTTCCGTATATATTTTTTTTTATATATATATATATATATATATATATATGCATACATATACCGATATATCCACGCAGATACATACAGTGATTTTCTAAGCCCGGCTTAGATATGGCACAAGGCCGAAAGTATGGGGAACTCAGTGAGGATCGAACTCACTACTCAGTCGTCACTGGCCTAGCAAAACAAGCTTTCCAATCATTACACCACGTCGAGGTGTCCATAGTGATTTTCCAAGCGTAGCTTAGATGTGGCACAACGTCGAAAGTAGGGGGGGGGACACCCAGTGAAGATCGAAAAGAATATTTTCTAAGCGGAACTTAGATGTGGCACAAGGCCGAGAGTATGAGGCACCTAGTGAAGATCGAACTCACTTTTTAGTCTTTTGAACTCCGTTCGCCGAATTCACATCCCACACCGATAACCGTTACACTATCCGTTATTCATGACGCTACACGTTTCTTTCTCAGCAAAGAGAAGTTTTAAATGCGCCATGCTTGATTCGAACTTAGGGTTTGTCGATTTGCGGTGGGATATTCTGATTGTTTATCAAACAGCCTGATCGATAATTGAGTCATCAGAATTTTGATTGTTATTTACAGAACAATGTAATTTTTGGCTTATATTTCTTGAGCAGCCGATAAAGGGGTGCCTCTTATTTTATGGCTTGCATATTGAATTTTTTTCCTTAAATCTAATATGAAGAAAACACAGAAAGTCTTGGCCAAGAAAAAGAAAAACGAATTTAATTGCATTTACAATCAAATCTATTCCCACGGTAGGAAGACACACAAAAAGAACATACGTGAGAATCGAAAACAAAGTAAATACACACAGGTGCATCCAGGCAAGCAACACACAGATACATACATTTAATCAAATGCAGGGGGTGCACTCCTGCTAGTGCTATACAACTCGATATTCTGGAAAAAATCCAAAGAAGGGTCCGTTATGTTATTGGCCTTGACCTGCCATTTCGACTTCAGTCGCTTTCCTATAGATCTGACGTGGCTTCACTCTGTGTTTTTTATAAATATTTTCCCGGCAGTTCTTCTAATAAGCTCTCCTCTCCATAATCTTTGTAAAAATTCACTGGGGTTTCGTTTTTAAATTTTGTTATTTTTATTCCTCCCAACCAACTCCAGACAAATTATACATAGACTTGAAGTATTATAGTGGCTTTAGTTAGATTGGTAAAGTAAGAATGTGTTGTTTTGGTGTAAGGAATACAGTAGTATGTTTATATACAGTAATTGTGGCAAGCTAAGTTTAAGAGAAGACTGATTGAAGACCAGCTTTTCCTCATCCCCCTTTGGCCTTGTGCCACGTTTTTTATTTGAAAGATAAATATTACTTTCCTCTTTGACTTTGAGGTATTATATTGGCTGTAGTACGACTGGTAAGTAAGAATGTGTTGTTTTGGTGTAAGGAATACTGTGGTATGTTTGGGTCATTGAGTTAAGTTTAATTATTAGACAGTTTGAATACCAGACTTTCCCTTTACCCGCTTTTGGCCTTGTGCCACATTTCTTTCAATATCATACGAATAAATATCACTTTCCTCTTTGGCACGTAGCCTTTATGAATTTAAGCACTGTACTAGATTGGAGGCAAGATCTCATCATTTTACAGTTGAAATAGTTACGACTTCATAGAGACTTGAGGTATTATGGTGGCTGCAGTAAGATTGATAAGTAAGAATGTATTGTTTTGATGCAAAGTATGCTGTGGTATGTTTGGTTCAGTAATTGTGGCTAGCTAAGTTTAAGATAAGACAAATTGAAGACCAGCCTTCCACCATTCCCCTTTTTGCCCTGGTACCACGTTTTTGTATTTGCAAAATAAATATTGCTCTCCTTATTGGTACCTCGACGGCTTCAGGATGATCTAGGCAATCTTGAGAGAATTAGAAATCCTACCGGGATTTAGCATTGGTGGCCACAATCTTAACAACATGAGATATGCAGATGACACAGTATTGATAGCAGACACGGAAATGAAATTACAACTTCTCCTATAGAAGGTAGCGACGGAGTGAGAAGAAGGGACTAAGCATACACTACAAGAAGACGAAGTGCATGGTCATCAGTAAGAGGATGAGCCCGAAATGAGATCTGAAGGTCGCGAACACTAGAATCAAGCCAACGCGGAAGTTTAAATATCTGGGAAGCGTCTTGACAGAGGACGGTAAGTGCGACATTGAGATCTGTAGGCGTATCAGGATGGCCAAGGACACATTCCAAAAGTTGGGCAGA